TGCTGGCTGTGTCCAGGTCTTTGGGTTTCTCTATTGGTGTGTCATTCTGTGTGTGTCTGCCTCTGTGGATGTACATACATATGTGGTTTTGCCTGGTTTTGTACCTGTGTATCTGGGTCTTTGGGATTCTGTGTGTGTCTGTGTGTGTGTGTGTGTGTGTGTGTGGTGTGCATTGCTGGGGATCTCACTGCAGCAGATAGCATGCACGCACGCAGGAACACACACACACACACACACACACACACACACACACAACCTCCCTCCCGCCCTCTAAAACAGACCTGTTAAGGACCCGTTGGAGCACTGGGGTCGGAGATCAGTGGGCTCCTGGGCAGTCAGGCTGGGTGACCTTAGGCCCTGGCTGGGCCCAATTCCCAGGGGGCAGCCACCTCAGCCGAGAAGCTCTCAAAGGGGTGTGTGTGTGTGTGTGTGTGTGTGTGTGTTCACAACCCTGTCCTTCACAATCCTCCTGGCCTCTCCAGCCCGCCTGCCGGTTGCCGGCTGCTCCTCCATCTGAGCTGAGAGAGTTAACCTAGCAGGCCAGGGCGGTCTGGGCTGGGGGCCGCCCCCTGGCCCCCCTCCAGCCCCAGCTCCAGTTACAGCTGCTGGTTGGGGAGGGCAAGGGTGGGGTGGGGCTGGGAGGGGGGCCTGCTGGGGGCGGCGCGTCCAGCTCTGGGCCAGGGGGTCCAAAGTGCTCAGCCCCCAGGGCACAGCAGGACTTTTGGGGGCCTCCTTTCAGCAGGGGACAGCCTGATTGGGGTGAGCGTTCCCCACTCCTCCCCTCCAGGCCTCACCCCTGGCCTGGCTGGGCTGCCTATTTTGGGAGCAGGAGTGGCCAGCCCGAGGCTTCCCAGGCAGGCCAACCCAAGAGGGAGGGAGTGTGTTTGGGGCATTGGGTTCTGCAGGGTGGGAGTGTGGGCAACTCCTCCCTGCCCTGCTGGTGTGCATGTACCCTGGCAGGGTGTGGAGTTTGGACACGCACGTGTGCAGGGCTGGTTGCGTCACTGTTTGGGGGCACCAGAGGCCCAGAGGAGGAGGACTGGAAGACTGACGGTGTTTACACCCCACGTCCTGCTCCAACCAGAAGTTTGGGGAGAGGTTGTTGTCTCATGTCCATTCCGGCCCCAGTGTGTGTGTGTGTGCGTGTGCGTGTGTGTGTGTGTCTGTGCGTGCAGCCCTGCCCCGGCATGTGTCTTCTATCTCTCAGGCCCACTTGCCTGGGCCTCATGTCACTTGCCTGACATCCGATTGTGAAAGATGTCACCCAGAGGCGGGCAGAGGGGCCGTCTTTTCCTTTTCTCCTTGCTGCCCAGGGAGGAGACGGGGTGGCCTTTCCCACAAGGGCAGCCTGTGGCGATGTGGCAGCCGGGCCTTACCCCGGCAGGGCTGTGCGTGACCCCCCGAGTGGGGGAAGTCTGACTGTTGCCATGGTGGCTTGAGCGAGCGGAATTCCTCCAGGGTGAAGTGGGAGATATTTATACCCAGGGTTAGGCCGGGAGCGGGCGGGCGGCGAGGGCAGGGCGCTGGGATTTCGAGGGGTGCAGTGAGGCTGGGTGTGTAAGCAGGTGGGACTTGGGTGTCTCCTGCTCTGTGTCTGTGTGAGCCGGCTCCTCCTCTCCCCCTGCCAGGGTAGGTCTGGGAACCGGGGGCCTGTTGCGGGAGGTGGAGGCCCAAGGGAGGACCCTGGGGACTGTGTGTCTCACCCCTGTCCCTCTACATTGTGTTGTTGTGTGATCCCCATCATGGAAGTTGTTTTGTTGACACTGTGTCCCCATGAAGCTTGGGATACCCCTGTTCCTCGGAGCCACCAAGCGAGAGAACAAACACTTCTGATTCAGTCCCTGGACTGTCTCTGACTTCATCCCTTGGGTTCAGGCCCTATGTTGGGGAGCCAGGGCACACACTGCCTGACTGGTGGTGTCTCCCCCAGGATAATGGTGTCTCTTGGCCACATCTTGGTTTTCTGTGTGGGTCTCCTCACCATGGCCAAAGCAGGTAAGTGTAAGGGAGGCTGCCTGCCACCCACCTCAGCCCCAGGGGTGGCAGCGGGGACCAAACCCCAAGAAAGAACCAAGTTGGAGACCCCAACCTAGACTGAGTTAGCTGGGTACCAAGAAGTTTGGGGGTATCCACATGGGTTTCCGTCACAGGTTGTGATTTGCGGGAGGGGAGAGGAAGCCCCAGATCAGGTAAATGTTGGGTGGGATGGGGCTGAATCCCTGGTGGGCTAACTGGGTCACAGACAGCCTGCCATGAGTCAGGGAGCTGGGGCAGTTAGGTGCCCCCTGCCCCATCCGGAACAGTGCAGAGAGGGCAGCTGGAACTGCCAGGGCAGCCCAGAGAGGGTGGACAGCCTGCCTAGACACCCTCATACTCTCAGCCCAGCAAGGCAGAGCACCCAAATGGTCTCCTTATGCCCCTCCCTGTGCAGGACCCCAGGAAGCATTCAACCCCTGATTTCTCTCTCTTTCCAGAAAGTCCAAAGGAACACGACCCGTTCACCTACGGTGAGAGGGGTCTATCTTTGAGAGTCTCGGGGTAGAGCCTGGCTTTGCTGGTCCTTCAATTCCTTGTCTCCCTCTGCCAGAGTCCCAGTGTTGATATCTCTGTCCTTCTCCTTTCCTCTGTCTTGTACTTCGTCTCTGATTCTATCTACATCTCCCCCTGTCTGTGTCTCTCTGTGTCGCTACGTGAGCCGCCTCCCTGTTCTCTTCCTTTTGCCTGGGTCCCTAACAGCATCCCGTGGCCCGTCCTCTGCTTCTTCCCATCTTCTCTCCCGCTCTGTTCCCCTCCTCCCTACCCCCTCCTTTTCCTATACATCCTATACACCCCTCTCCTCTCCCTCGTCCCCCACTTTCCTCCTCCCTTGTCTGCTCCCCCTTAATTGATCTTATTTCTCCCCTCCTTCCTGCTGACCCTCTCTCCTTGTCCCCTCCTCTCCATTGTGCCCCTCTCCTATTCTCCCTCCTGTCCTCCCTGCCCTCACCTTCCCTGCTCTGCCGCCCACAGACTACCGGTCCCTGCGGATCGGAGGCCTCATCATCGCCGGGATCCTCTTCATCCTGGGTATCCTCATCGTGCTCAGTGAGTGTCCTAGCTCCCGGCCCCGCCCTCTACCCGCGCTGTCCCTGGCCCCGCCTCTCCCCGCCCGGCTCCCCGGGCCCGCCCTGGCCCCGCCTCTCCCCGCTCCAGCCCCTCCCCGGCCTTGCCCCGCCTACCCCACCTCGGCTCCCTGGCCCCGGACCCCGGTCCCGCCTCTAGCCCCGCCCCGTTGCCGAAGCCCCGCCCCTCGCGAAGCCTAGCTGGAGCAACAGCGCCGCGTGGCGCCCGCCGGAAGGGAGCCTCAGCCTCTCCTACCTCCACGCCCACAGGCAGAAGATGCCGGTGCAAGTTCAACCAGCAGCAGAGGTAAGACGCTCCTCCCGGCCATCCCTAGTCCCCTCCCGCTCTGGAGGGCCCGGCGGGTGAGGCGGGAAGTCCCCCTGACCTGCAGCCCGATCCCCATCAGAGACTATGTTTTAAGCACCTACTATGTGCCCTAGCCCAAGCCAGGCCATGGGCCCAAGCGAGGAAAAAACCTCCCGCCCTTCCTGGCCGAGCTCCCAGGCTAGTGGAGGCGGTGGCCATGGGTTCCAACAGCCCACAGATACAAAAATCACAAATCGTGATAACACCAAGTGCAGGAAAGAAGGAACGGCGGTGAAATGAGATCATCTGACATGCGGCTCAGTTTAGCTTGGAGTCCTGTTCCTAGCTCTTTGATTCATCTTCAAATAAAATGTTAAAGCATGGACAATGTTTGAATATGTTAGACAATTATAGATATTATCATAAGTAGTAGCCAATATTTATTGGGTGTTGTACCACGTGTCAGATACGGTTTCACTTCCTCTTGGAGGGAAGTGCGGTTATTAACTCCATTTTACAGATAAGGAAACTGAGGCACAGGGAGGTAAAGTCACTTTTCTCGAGATCACTCAAGTGGAAGATGGGTTCTGGGTTTCCAGCCCAGGCCATCACGTGGCAGTCTGCCAAATCCCCTTGACCATCCCTCCCCTACAACTTCGTATCCCCGCCTCCAAATCCGCGGAGGTACTCACTGTTAACCGGCTTGGAAGCCTCCTGCCAGGCACTTAAGCTGCTCCTGGGTGCTCCTCACTTCTGGCGGACCCCGAGCCTGCTTCTCGTCCATATGTGGGCCTCCTTACACCAGTCTGAGACAGGAGGCTTGTACTTGGGGGGTGGTTCCTAGAAGGGCAACCTCTCCCCCTTTCCATCCCAAAATCTCTCTGCTTCTGTCTTACCAGGACTGGGGAACCCGACGAAGAGGAGGGAACTTTCCGCAGCTCCATCCGCCGTGAGTTTGGGGAGACTGCGGGTTTTGGGGGGAGGGGGCTGGTTCCAAGGACCCCTTTCCTGGCCCTCTCGGGTTGCATAGAGGGAGGGACTGGATCTGAAAGCGGAGGGCAGGGAGTTGCCCCGCCGTGGGCCCCTCCTGCCCGAGAGCTGAGGATCCCCCTCCTAACTGCCCCCCGACCTCCGTGTTCCCCCCAGGTCTGTCCACTCGCAGGCGGTAGAAACACCTGGCACAATGGAACCCAGCCAGGTGCTGCAGCTCTGACACGGCGGGAGGAGGGAAGGAGGGAGGAAGGGCGGGACAGGGAGGGGGCCAAGTGCCAGGGTGGGAGGGAAGCGAGGGGTGGGGCTGGACGTACCCCCTCGCCTCTCACCCTTTTCACCCCCACAGGACTCCCCTGGCACCTGACGTCTCCCACGCTCCACCTGCGCGCCCACCGCCCCCTCCGCCGCCCCTTCCCCAGCCCTGCCCCCGCAGACTCCCCCTGCCTCCCAGATTTCCAATAAAACGTGTATTCCTCTCGACAGCGTTTAGTCGGTCTCCGTCCCTCAGCGCGAAAGCCCAGAGCTCCTGGACCCCAGCAGGGGGCGCCCCACCCTAGAGGAAGGGGCGGGGACGACAGTGGTGGGCGGGGGCGGGGGCGGGGGTGGCCTGCACGGGGGCGGGCTCCCCGGGCCCCCATTGGCTACAGGCACCCCCCACGCCAGGGCTCCCCCCAGCTCCCCTCCACATCGGTCTGTCCTGCTTCCAGCTGCTGCAGCGCGCCTTCGCCGCCAAAGCATCCAGAAGCCCCCTGCTCCGTCCGAGCATGGCGACCCCGACCCAGACCCCCACAAAGGGTGAGCGTCGTCTGGGGAGGGGGTTGTAGGGGGGCTCTGGGATCTGAAAGCCTAGGAGAGAGGGTGTTGGGAGATTCCAGCAATGGTAAGGCAGGGGAGTGGGGAGGGAGAGGTCCGCTCCTCCTGCCGGTGGAGGCCCCTGTACTGCACCCCCCTGCTCGCCCCTCTGGGTCTCTGGGACACCCTCTCCCCGGCGGGCGACCTGTGCCAGACCTGCGGTTGGAGATTGGCAGTCCTGGGAGAAGGGATGCTCGGACAGGTCGCTATGGCAACCGGGTGGCTGGTCCGGCACTGTGGTGGTAGCAGACGGGAAGAGATGGGCTTGCAAGGTGGGAGCGGGTGGGTCTGCGGCCAGAGACGCTCTGGAAGATTTCAGGGTCCCTGGGTGGGCAAGGGAAGGGGAGGAGGTCCATGTTCCTCTTCTTTCCAGTGCTGTCTCCTGGGGTATATGTTTCCTGAAAGAGCCAGGTTCAGAGGAAAGGAGTGAGAACTGAGAGAAGAGACAGAGAAGGGATATTCAAGAGACAGAGAGAACCTGGAAGAGACAGAGACCACGAAAGGCAGAAGATCCAGAGTCACAGACACAAAGACCCAGGAAGAAAAATAGAGGGACTCAGAGAGATTCTCAGTGGAGGGGAAAGGCAGAGAGCAGTAGACAGAGACGCAGAGAGAAAATGAGAGGCTGGGAGATAGTGGGATTGAGACCGCTGTGGAGAGACAAGCAGAGAGATGGACCCATGGGGAGAGAGGGCAATAGAAAGAGAAGAAGGGAGCAGTCAGTGTGGGGTGGGGCCCAAACCACTGCAGTGAACCCCCATGGATGGAAATGGGTGATGGGACCTTCCTTCCCAGCCCACAGCAGGGGTGGGTTCCAATCCCAGAGGTGCACTTGGTGTGCACATAGCTGCACCTACTGCCCCCATCCAGCCGCAAACTGACTTCCATTCCACACCCATTAACCCAGTTATGCACCCGCTTAAACACCCCCTTCCACCGTCTACCCCTAATAACCCCCATTGCTCAGCTTGCTTCTGCAGAGGAGCAAGGCACAGACTGCTTCAAGAGACAGCGGGTGCCCAGCCAGGGTCTGTAGCCCTGAGGGCAGGGCCAGGGGGTGGATCGATGGTGCTGAGAAGCCCCTGGCAGTGAAGGGAACCCCAATCCCACCTATGGCTCCCTCCCTTCTGCGCTTCCCAGCAGGCGGGGGCTGCTGCACTGAGCCATATCTGCAGAATCTGAAGCAGGGCGGGGGGTGGGGGGGGCTGCAGAGGCTGGAAGCCACCCTAGGGAGAGGGGGCAGGGCTGAGGCAGCAGGCCTGGCAGGAGCCCAGGGCTTCTTTTCGCAGAGGTGGTGGTTAGCAGGATCGATGGCAGCAGACGGGCAGAGGTGGGAGGACAGACTCCTCAACCCCACCTCCTCTGCCTCCCCCTTTCCCAGTCACAGCATGAGAGGGGACCGCAGGTCTCAGGGAAATCCCGGGGGAGGAAAAGCATGTTGTGCATTACAAACTGCTTAAGGAAACTAATTAATGAATTGTTGGGGAGTGAGGGGGGAAGAGGGGAGATTGTCTCCCTCCACCCTGCCAGAGAACAGGAGGGAGAATTAGGGGTGAACAGAGAGGGATGCAGGAGCACAGGTGGGGCCGGGTCCCTATGCCTGAAATGGACCCTCAGCTTGGCCAGAAGCCAGTCCTACAGGGGCAATAGCAGGAGGTGCAAAAGGAGCAGAGGGGATGGAGATTGAAACCTGCATCTCACACAGGACCCCACAGGGACCCCACCCAGCCTGAGGTGCTGGGACCTATCACCTCTCTTCACCTCCCAAGATGCCCCAGTTGCCATAGTAACCACCTCCTTCCAGATATCTCCTTGGCAGCTGACCAGGAGTAGTGCACATTCCTTTGCCTGACTTCTGGCCCCAGCCTCGCCCGACAGCCCAGGTTGCTGGGGCAGCAGGGACCCAAGGAGGATCTTCTGCATGGAGCACCAGATTCTGGGACAGGTGCTCACCCAGTGGGCTCCCCCTAACTTTAGGGAAGGGTAGGTGTGTGGAAAACAGACAAGTGAGACAATCCACCTTTTGCAGTCTCCTGCAACCTAAGAGTGCCTCATAATCATTCCTTCATTCATTCACCCCAGAAAACTTGGAGAGCCTTTCACAAATGTCAGGATGAACAGCAGCGATGAGTCAAACAAATTTACTCACTCTCTGGTGGGGAAACTTACACGGAGCACGAGGGACCCTGAAACAGGGTTTGCCCATCTTGGTGCTTTAGAGTACTACTGTCACAATTTTTGCTTTATTCAAATATACCTCACACTGCTACTTACCTAATTTTTTCCTTGAAAGGAATCACTTCTTTGTTTTTATTATTTGAGACAGGGTCTTACTCTGTCACCCAGGCTGGAGTACAGCGGCGCGATCATAGCTCACTGCAGCCTCAGCGGCCTGGGCTCAATCTATCCTCCTGCCTCAGCCTCCTGAGTCGCTGGGACTACAAGACGCTCACCGATACATCCAGCTAATTTTTGTATTTTTTGCAGAGACGGGTTTCGCCATGTTTCCCAGGCTGGTCTCAAACCCCTGGGCTCAAGCAGTTCACCCGACTTGACCTCCCAAAGTGCTTAGGATCACAGGTGTGTGCCACCATGCCCAACCCAGGATTAGCTTTTTAAAAACAATGAAGTTTATTTTATATAGCACTATAACAAATGGAAAATTCAT